CCTGGGCTCGCCCCGGCATGGCTGCTGCGGAGCTGGAGAGCCGGGGCGTGAGTTCGCGGGGGTTTTCTTCTGACTTCGAGGTCTCGTTCGCAGCCTGATCCAGCTGGAGGGGTTCCTGAGCGGGATGTGCTGCAGCTGCGAGGCGGTCTACCGCGTGCTGTACTGGGAGAACCCCGCTGTCTCTTCGCAGTGAGTGGTACTGGAGCAGGCGTCCTGCGGTGGGCTCAGCGGGCCTGTGGAGCAGCGCCCGGCGTTTTCGGGGCTCAGAGGGAGCGGGCAGAGGAGCAGGCGAAGGGATGGGCCTTGTGGCGTGAGCTGCGCTGTCTTGATCCCTGTGTCCTGCTGCTCCTTCCCAGGTTTTATGGGGTGCTGCTGGGCTCCGTCTGTGTCCTTTACCTGCTGCCCCTCTGCTGGGTCCTGGCCATCCTCAACAGCACCCTCTTCCTGGGCAACACCCAGTTCTACCAAGGTGAGAGCCCTGTGTGGGATGGGTTGGGCAAAGGCCCTGTGAAGCCGGGGATCCTGGCCTGGTCCTCTCCCAGAGCCCTTGTGTGAGCCTAGTGTGCTTTGTTAGGCTCTGCCGTGGGGCCTGGACCCCCCAGAGGGCAATGATGTCAGCAGCCCAGGTTGGGTGGTGGGGCTCAGGTGTGAGAGGCGAGGCTCTCGCCGGGGGTGCGTCCTGGCCTGGGTCCTTTTTCCTGCTCTCTGTGCTGTGGCAAACTGGGGCCTGGCACCACAGCCTGTGTGTGAGTGTCACAGCCCCACTTGGTCCCTGACCCTGCTCGGCAGGACTCGAAGTACTCCTGGTGCCTGTGGCAATGCGTGACGCAGCTTGGAAACCTGCCGTCAGAGGGGAGGAGGGGAGCCGGAGGCGCGCTCTGTCCTGTGGTGTGTGCTGGAGGAGAGTTGGAGGAGATCTGTGTGACCGAGCTGTGACTAAGGCCCCTGCTGTTCCCTGGCCTGAGCTGGGGCAGGTGGTGGGGGGTTCCTTGCTGCCCTAACTGTGGTGTGTGAGCAGAGGAGGGCTCGGGGTACCCGACAGGTGAAGGCTGTATGTGCCAATGTCCCACCTCGAGCCCTGGAGATCAGCTCTTGCAGGTGGTTTTTGTGTGGCAGGGTGGGGGGAAGTGCCACCCCGCTCTAGCCGCATTCCCCTCTTACCAGTGGTAATGGAGCTCAAGGCCTCCATCGAGCAACGTGTGGGCACCAAGCCCCTCGAGCGTGCTCCAGAGCCTGCCGAACCCCTGCCAGCTGCTGCCCCCCTGGATCGGACCCCCACACCCACCAGCACAGAGGTGAGACAGGGGTAGGGCTGGTGGCAGTGGTGGGGTGGGAGCTGCAGGGTCTGACTGTGCCCGTGCCCCTCTGCCCACAAGCTCTCTCCAGCTGCCAGCTTTGATGGAAGCCTGTGTGCCCTGCCTGGGAGCCCCTCCTGAGTTATGGGGGGGTTGCCCTCCTTGCTGGGGGCTTGACTCGGTCCTCCTGCTGTGTGTAAGGATGTGACCTGGGGAGGCAGGGGCTCACCCTGCTTTCTGGGACCCGCACCTTCTCGTGGGGCTGCCGGGTGGCTGGTCCTTTGTCCTGGAACCTGCCATGGAAGTGTGGGCCCACCTTTGGACAGAAGCAGGGGTACAGCAGGACTAGCTGTGTGAATCTCTTGCAGGACCTTACCCCTGGCAGCGTAGAGGAGGCAGAGGAGGGAGAGCCCGATGAAGAGTTTAAAGATGCTATTGAGGTTTGGGGCTGGTGGGGGCGGGCTGTGCCTGCAGGGCAGCTGAGGTGGGGAGGGGTGAGGGCCTTGGTGGGCAAGCTGAGTGCTCAGGGAGGGTGGGTGTGGGGCCAGGTGCCTCTGACTTCGTCTGTACTGCCTCCCCTCTCTGTCCCATGCTGCGGGAGAAGGAGAACCAGCTGCTGGTCATGGTGAGTACTGGCATGACTAGGTGTGCAAGAGGGGCATCTCCTCCCAGCTAGAGCTGGCAGCCTTTGCTGGGTTTGCTGGTGCTTTGTGGCGATGCCACGTGGAGCACGCTGCTCGTTGGATGCCCCTCTGTGGGGTGGGCTGCCCTGAAGCCCCCGAGCGTCCCCCCAGCCACCCGTCCCTGCTCAGCTGGCTCTGCTCTCCGCAGGAGGATGACGAGAGCTCTCAGTGCTCAGCAGATTTTGACCTCAACCTCCCAGACAACGGTTTTATGAGCAAAAATGAGGTGATCCGCAGCAAGGTGTCACGCCTGACTGAGCGCCTGCGCAAGCGCTACCCCAGCAACAACTTCGGTAAGGCTGGGAGTGGATGCTGCCTGGGGGAGCTCAGCAGAGCCGGGTCTGTGCTGCTCCCAGTGGTGGCCACTGAACTGGGAGTGGACGGTGGTGTGGTGCCTGCTAAGGCTGTGCTGACACCTCCAGTGACCTCCCTCCTCCGTGGGGAGGATGTTCCCAGCTGTCCTGGGAAGGGCAGGGATGAGAGGGTGCACAGTGTGGTCTCCAAGCCTTTGCAACAGGTGTGGGTGTTCCTGTGCCTCTCGCAATCCCAGGCGGCAAAGCCCTGCCTTACCTCTGCTCTCTTTCTTCCAGGGAGCTGCACGGGCTGCGCAGCCACCTTCTCTGTGCTCAAGAAGAGGGTGAGTCTTCAGCTTCTGCCCCAGCTTGCTGCCTGCACCTGGGGCAGAGGTGTTTGTGCGTGTCTGGCTCACCCTGGCTTTCTCCAGCAGCTTGGGCTGCTGGCCTCGGTCACAGCCCAGCAGCAGATGACCTCAGCTAAGTGCTGGGTGTTGTCGGATGCCTAATGGCGCCAAGGATCCTTTGTGCTGTGGAACCTTTGTCTCTTTGCTCCTTTGGAAGCTGCCTTGGGCCAAACCTGTGTGTGCTGGTGTAGAAGGCACCTGCTCTGTGCCCTGGTTTAGCCCATTTCGTGTGGCCTGAGAGCTTTCCGGTGAAGCAGAGCATGGGTCTGCTTGTGGGAACTAGAGGTGCAGAGGCCACCCCTGTCATCTTCTCTGAGTCCCTGCCCATGATGTATGTCTGGGACTCTCCGGAGCTTGCGTCCCTCCGGAGTTACAGCGCAGGAAGTGACACGGTGTCCGTAAACCTCCGGGAGTCTGCGCTCCCAGTGAGCTAGAACATACTTGAATGTGGATCCAGCGTTGGCAGACAGCCTGTCTGTTATTGCTGTGGGGGCTCAAGGCTCATACGCACTCCCCCTTGGCAGGGAATGCTGTTAGCAGTGCTCTGGCACTGGAGTTTGCCGGGGAGGGCTGGGAGTGGGCCCATAATAGTGTCTCACCTCCATCTCTCTCCACAGCGGAGCTGCAGCAACTGTGGGAACAGCTTCTGCTCCAGGTGTTGCTCCTTCAAAGTACCCAAGGCTGTGATGGGAGCCACGGGTGAGTAGAAAGTGGGGTAGGACAGAGCTGCCGCTCCCACCTGCGCTGTCTGCTGTGGGGACGTGCCCCGGTGGGGAGGTTAGGCAGGACCTGCCCAGCACAGCCTGGCTCAGAACAGAGCAGTGAGGGGTTTGCAGCTCTTGGAGCATCTCTGTGGCTGCGGTCCCTAGCCTGTGGTGGGCGATAAGGCTGATCTCTGACATCTGCTTTGCTTTCCAGCCCCGGAGGCTCAGAGGGAGACGGTGTTCGTGTGTGCCCTGTGCAACCAGGTGCTCATCAAGTGACTGAAGCGGGCCCAGCCAGTGCCTGGGTCCTGCACGGCCTGACACCTGGGGCAGTGGGAGCCCTGCCCTGGCTCACCTGGGTCCCAGCATGGTGTCACCCTGCCAGAGGACACTTGTGCTCACTGCTCCTCCTGCCAGTGCCAGGCTGGGAGCAGGCCAGCCCTCCTTGCCCTGCAGCATCTGCTGTGCCAGCTGGGTCCCTGTGGTGGAGCGCTGCCCATGGCCGTGCCCCCATCTCTGCCGCTGCCCCAGGCAGCTGCTCCGAGCCCTGGGTGCTCCCTGGGCTGTGCCCTGCGATGTACTCGGGCCCCTGTGGCCTGGCGCAGTGGTGGAGGAGCCATCCTTCCCGCTTGTGGTCCTACCTCCACCTCCTGCCTGGGGCAGAGCAGCCTCAGGGCTCTGTCCCTACCTTTCCCAGCGCTGTGCTAGGTGACTGTATTTTTGGGATCAAGTCAGAGCTCTGCTTGCCTCCCTAGGAGATGTGGTCTTTGGTCCTGGCTCTGAGACCCTGCTGGTCATTCCTGTGCTCCTTAGCCTCACTGCCTGCAGGTTTAATCTTCCCCCCACCCCCATTTGGCTGTAGCATGGAGGAGGCAAGAGGGTAACTTTGGGCTGGGCTGTGTGGCCAGGTCTCCAGCTGCAGCCTGAGAAGAGGCACGAGTTGGTGCTGCTCTCTGCACTTTGTGACTGCTGCTTTCTACTACAGATTAATATATAAGTGTATATAGAGAACGACCAATAAATCTCTTGCCCTCGGCTGGCTCTTGTCTTGCCCCAGTGAGAGCTGCCCCAGGTCACCCCAGCGTCTTCATAGCCTTGGCCCTGCCCTGCAGCAGGTGGTCACGCAGAAATGCGGTGTCTCTGCCACCAGCTCCCCTTGCTTACTGGGGTTTCCACCTTCTGTGGTGCGGTGGCCTTGTTTGCCCCTACTCAGGGTGGCGTGGAGCTGCCCCTCCCTGGCTGTGCCAGGCCCGGATCCTTCTGGGCTGGAGCCAGGGAGAAGCTCAGCACTGGCAGGAGCTGCTGGGCTTCCTCTCTGCCTCCTGGGGCTGCTCCTTGCCCTGCCCTGCCCAGGCGGTGGTCCCGGCAGCTGCCTGCACACACAAGGGTGACCTTTCCCTGGGTGAACAGCAAAGCTCCCAGCTATCCCAGGAATGTGACCCTGGCCACCACGCAGCTGGGAATGGCCATGGGCTGGGTCCCTGCCAGCCAGCTGCAGCTCCCACCCAGGGAGGGGGGGCAGTGCTCTCAGGCTGGCATTGCCCAGTGCCCACCAGGCCATGGCACCCACTAGCCTGGGAAGACACCAGGGACCTGGATCTCTGCTGATTGTACACCCACCGGTGTGGGAGCTCGTGTGGGGCAGCTCTGGGGGTAGCTTGAGCCCTCCTCTCAGCCATGGGCTTGTAAACCCTTCCTCAAGCTGTGCAGTGTGGAAATTTGGGGAGAAGCTGGGCTTGGCAATGATGATGAGGGTGTCTGAGTTGTGCTGTGTGTGCTCCAAGGCCCGGGTGTGGGGGGTGGGCTGGCACGCAGAGGGCTTGGCGGTTACTGGGGGCAGTGGAGCAGCTGTAACATTGGGGAGGGGGCTGTGTAGCACCCCAAGAGCTGTGGGGTCGTGCCTGGGGATGAGGGTGTGTCTGGAGTGGGGCAAGTACTGGTCTGTGAGGGGCTGGGGGGGGTTGAGCTGTAGAAGTCAGACGGTCGGCGATGGGAGGTGGAGAGCAGTTACTTGTCTTGCTAGAGAAAACCCTTGGAGCGCTGAGCGGGATGGCCGTGTGTGTCTAAGTGCTCCCTTGAAAGATGCTAATGACACAAAATACAGAGGGCTACAGATAAACTTGGGCCGTGGGAGATGGGGTTCTGCTTGCGCACTGGAAATTTTGCAGTAAAATGACCTAACTGACAATGTTTATTCCTATGGCAGCATGCTCAGCAGCCTCCAGCTGAACCTGCCTTCTAGCAACATTTGATTTCTCTCCCCCCCTAGTTTTTTTCCA